CGGGGGGGGGGGGGGGGGGGGGAACATCGCAAATCTATTCGTGTAAGCCATGGACCAAAGCGCCCGGACGAAACGGAGGGGTTGCAGTGTTTTATGTATGGCGTAGTCCGAGGTTTCCAAGCCATTCCTTGCTCCAAGCCTTAACGCCCTGTCCCAGTCATCCCCGACAATTTGAAGAACCGGTACCAAAAGTTGCCACGTTTATTGTTTGACCGGCGGCGCATGGGGGTCGAACTCGTTCGCGCTCGGCACCGCAACTGATCTTTCCCGGCCTGCGTGCTGCAGCAAGAAGTGGTGCTTTCGCTTCACTCAGTGCGGGACCCAGCTTCTACGCCTTGTTCGACACTCCGATACCCCGGCGGACACAACACGAAAGTGATGATTCGGTCCGCAGCGTGTCTGTTCACGCTCAGAAAGCGGCCGATGGCGTGGGGCCTGCCGGAATGTACTACCTATCCAGTCTTGAGGGAAGGGTGCGTGTTGGTCAAGCGTGAAGCGGCTTCACGTACGTCCAAGAAGAGAGTTGTAGAGAGAATGTGGCATCCACGTGAAGGGCCATGCGGGGGGGGGGGGGTTCCGAAAGCAAGACACCCGAAACAAGTTACGTTAATCTACCAAACCATCTATTTACCATCTACCACACACACAGCTAGATTTCGTGCCTAGTTACTTTGCGAGGGGGCTCTCAGCACTGATACTCCTCTCGGCCCTGATGTTTTTTGCCTATAACACTCTGCCGTCTGATCTGGCAGACATCAATCACACACACACCTCACAACATCAACATCGACCCCCCAAAGAGTGCATGTTGTATAATCATGTTCATTTAATACTTATGGATCGCCCCCCTTCCTGTCTCCCGTATTCGGCGATCCGCCTAAACCTTGCCTTGGCCGTCTGCTCCGACTTCTCGACGAGGTCCGCGTGGACCTTGCGGTACCCCGTAACCCCCTTCTCCGCCTCCATCTGCCCAAGGAACTCCTCCAGGTTCTGCGTTAAACCGACGACAGGAACGGAGGAAGGGCACAACAACCGACGATCGGTCGATCGATCAAATTTCAGTCATAGTCGAGGCACCAAACCAAGGATGGATGCAAGCCAGCCAGCGAGCGAGGGTGCCAGGCAGATGAACAAAAAAATGGCGCTCGGGCTGTTTACCTAGAAGTACAAGATTTTAATACAACTTTTAAGTATGATTGCAAGAAAGGTACGGTGCCATGTGGTCTTCAAGTCGTGATCTTATCGCCAACAAGCATCATGGCATTCCTATCTTTTCGTGATTGCGCGGGACGTTGTCCTCAATCGTGGGGAGGCTAGGTTTGGCCGAAAAGATCTTTCATATCTACTTGTTTGTGCTGTGCAAGGCGGTGAGATCAATCGTGAAATCGTGCACGCAAACGTCGAAGAATTACTACTAACAAACGAAACTATTGAACAACGCGGCTTGACCTGGCGACGAGGCCTGCATGCAACAAAATATTGGTCTGCTTGCCAATAAGTTACCTCGTCGCGGCCCTTGAGAATCTGCTCGGTCCTCCTCAAGACAACGCTCTCCGCCCGGGTGGCCGCGAGCTCGGCCTTCATCTTGAGGTACGTCTGGGTCTTCTCGCGAAGGAGAGCCCCTGGGGAGAACAAGGTGTGGTCCACACACACGACAATCATAGGGCGGTGTTGGTTTGCATAGATAGTGCGTTCCTCGATGTTTTGCTACAACGAAGTGAATGTGTTTGGTGTGCGGCAGAAGCTTGAACGGCGTTAATATCGGCAGGGTTACCTTCTCGTCTTTATTGTGCTGTGTCTTCTATACTATAGTGTTTTGAAAATTAAGTAAAAGATTACAGGTCGCTCAAATGACATGATGTATCCTTAGTCGCACTCAAACATAATACTTCATTCGTGGCCTCGGGTCTTGGGTTGAACTTGCCTCGTCGCGACGGATAAGGTCTAGCCCAAGGTCTTGTGGGCGGCGGAGCGAATCCACCCCTCCAAATAGCGCACGACGGGACGCACACACCGAAATATGACCACTACTGCCGTTCCACCTCTCAAAAACACCAGGTGCACGCATGCCCCCCCCCCCGGGCACTCCCCTCAGCACCCCAACCCCTGGAGAGAGTTTCCGCCGAAAAAATAGGCTGTATCTACCGTACCCAGCCGGGTTCATCCTACCGCGCTGCTGCTGCTCAAGCTGCTGCCTCTGCCGCCACCGCCGCTGTTGCATTTGACAAGGCAGCGCAACCAACGAACCCCGTTGCCGCTGCGTTTCTCGCTGCTCACCGTACTGCCTCAGCTCTTCCTTCGACATGCCGTTCGATCCACCGCCCCCCCGGCCGCCCGAGTTGAGCCCCTCCATCTTGGACTGGAGACCGACATGATATTACCCAAAGAAGCAATAAACGCCCCGCCGAGGAGGGGCAAGGGGAGGAGGTCGCCAGTACGAATGGGAGGTTTGGGGGGGGGGGGCGTGCTTGATGGATGGGGTAGGTTCGATGCTGTATGCCCTGTGCCATGCCTTACTTTCGTTGTGATTTTGTGTTCTATTGGTGTTGTTTGTGGTGGATATTCAGTGTGCTCTAGGAAAGCCGGGGGGAATACTGTTTGCATTTCCCACAGACGATCGCCACCAACAACCAAAAAACGTGTGTAAATTACCACAACACGTGCCCAGAACAAGTATGTAGCAACAGAGTTGACGACACAGGTAGTGTTGGCAACGAATGTTGGGGGTGGTGCGTTATCTCTACTCGCTGGACAGAACAACAAGGATCGGCACAAAACGAAAGCGTCGGTATACATATTACATCACGGGGGACGCACCCCGTCCTGTTTGTGACACGACTGACTCTTTGCGTTGGGATCCGTGACGATTTAGGTGCAGATACAGACAGTACTGTGCCTGAGCTACACGGCAGAAATCGAGGCGAGACATCGAGGAAAGCGACAGCAACAACGACAACATCGGCTGAAAGAACGCAACAACAGCAACGATGACAACGACGACAACGACAACGACAACGGCAACAACAGCAACAACAAAAACAACAACAACAACAACAACAACAACAACAACAACAACTCTAAGCGACTCACCTCCTTGTCTTCGATCTCCGCGGCCAGCTTGGCCCTCTCCTCCTGCAGCCTCTCCCACTCGCCCTCCTTCTCGGCGCGCTTCTTAGCCGCCAGCCCCGCCGGCTGCCTCTGCATGTTCAAGCCGCAGTCAGGTTTATGAATTATTCGGTGGTTTTGCGGAGGGCAAGGGCAAGGATACCGGCGTGCTTCGGGGGGTGGGGGGGAGGGGGGATCGCCAAAAACAACGTACTCCCGGTACACATCACGTAGGTGGTTTAGTCTTGCGCAAGGAAGGGAGGGAGCTTGGTATTGTCAGGCAACGATGCCATGGTGGCCGCGACGCCGATTGCACAGTCCTCGTTCTTCTTGACATAGAGTCAGTCATCAATTAATTTAAATTCCAACGCTCGGGTACATAACCCTCTTTTTTGTTGTGAGGTTTCCATTGTGGCCACGGGAGGTCAGTTGGACCATGAGGGATGCAATATTGCTGTAAGTAGGAGGTACTTGAGGAGCAGAGATCGGAATGGTTGGCCACGCGAAGCCGACGAGCATTAGAGTCGTGTAGTTGCAATGAGAGGCACCTACCTGTCAGCTAGCGCCTTCTCGATCTGCTGCCTCGTTTGCTCGTTCTCTCTCCGCAGTTGGTACTCCAGCTGCTCCATCTCTTGCACGTCCTGGCGGAAGAGCGCGCGCAGGGGGGGGGGGATCATTCACCAACAAAAGCAAGCTAAAGCACGTTGCCTCGATAAACAACTCAAAGAAAAATGAAAATGGACGATCGCACCGAGAGCAAGAAAAACACGCGCCCGATTATAAGGACCAAACGATCGCACTGCTGTGTTTGTTATGGCACAAGGTACAAACGCCGAACCTTTTTCCTTCGGACCAACCCTCTACGCAGGAAAATGTGGGTCTTCATGGGAGTGGGTAAA